TAAGTATAGATACCCGTGGTCATGACAGCTGATCTTATAGCAGCACTACTCCAATCAGGATGTATGGCCTTTAGAAGTGCAGCTACGGCTGCAACGTGAGGGCAAGACATGGATGTCCCGGAATCAATATGGTATTTAACAACTCGATTATCAGCAGGCACGTTTAGGGGAGAAGACGCTTCACTCCAAGCTGCAAGTATATTTAGTCCTGGAGCAGTGATATCTGGCTGCACAATGACAGAAAGAAACTGAACTAATAAACAAGCTAGACTGTTACTCATAATCAAACTTATATTCATTAGTTTGGATTGTTATTGTTACCTTTAGAATGTTAGGTTCGATGAAATTGGGACCCCTCGAGGTAAAAGGAGCCATGAATGGAGCTGGTTTACTGCCTATTAGGGTCTTCGGTTGAATCAACGTGACATTTGGATTCTGATTAGTTTCAATGTAATTGTAGATGTTGATTTTATCAGAATAAACAACTGTTGCCGGTATCAAATACGGCCTACCCAGTACTCCTTGTCCCTGGTAGCTATTTCCTAGCACAGTTGCTATACCGCCTGCTCTTTGCACTTCTAATGACTGAAAAAGATCGCCCGTCCAGCAGAAAACAGCTTTCCCCCTTACTAATGCTGGCGAAAGAGTACCGGGTAGGCATAATCTGAAAAACATCAGGTAGAAAATAATAAGAAAATTTCAAAAATAATCCGAAGTGTATGCAAAAATAAGTAGTGAAAAAAATAAAATTTTGAACCCGTTTGTGAGATTGGTAGTTGTCCCTGGAAGTTCTACATCTGCAGCATATACAAGGGGGTACGTCCTATTCGTAAAAGGAGTTACTGATTGTCCCTGGTTTAAATTAATCAATCAAACAGGAAACTTTTGTTAGTTAATGTCCGAAAAGTTTACCCTCAACCACAATTATTTCCTTATTACCTCGATTATCATGTCATTTCCAATCACAATCGGAGAAGAAAAGACACGATCAATGCTACTTGCACCGACCGTAATGATCCAAGGGGCTACATTCGACACAGAATACGACCTAGGTCCTGAATTCCCTGCACTACATGCTACTACAATATTTCGTTTCATTGCATGCAATGCCCCGATTGCAATCCCATCTTGTGTGTACGGCCTGCTAGTATTCCCACCGATGGAAACACTGATAACGTTAACACCATCTGCGATGGCATCATCAAATGCAGCAAGCATATCATCATCTAGGCACGTGTTTCCTTCTGCTGGAGTCTGGCCCGGGACCGGCCAACATACTTTATAGATGGCTAAGCGCACTAGGGGGGCGCCACCAGAGGCCGTGCCACTGCCTAGTCCGCCAATAGCGGAAGCGTTAGGAACTCTTCGGCCTCCAATGGTCGATGATGTGTGAGTTCCATGACCATTTATATCCCTTGGCGATCGGAAGTCTAGACTAGTGTTGAGCGGACCATAATAAGCCTCGTAACTTTTCAAATAGTAGCGAGCTCCAATTAATTTTCTACATAATACAAAAAACAATAAAAAAAAGAAAATATTAAATTACAATATATGATATATTAACTTATTTTTCTTCTTTATTGGTTGTTTTATTTTTTATTCTCAAAACCACCTCGTCAAACTTATCATAATTTAATTTTCATTATTTTCAAATTGTCTAGATGGTCAAGAAACCAAATGATCAAATATAGGTCTAGTTCTTGCATTTTTTTTCTTTTTTATTCAAGCAACTTGATTGAATATGAGAATATTTTTTATTTTATTTTTTCAATATTTACCTGTTACAATGAGATGAATTAAAAGCAACGCCACTCTCGCAAATTCCTTTCCATGACTGGGGAATAGGATCCATTCCATTATCGTAGAAACTTTCAGACTCTGGCCATACTCCTAATGAAAGATACAATACAAAATGCAAAATAAAAATAAAAAAATGGAAATTAGTTAGAGAACATAACGACATAAACTTTAATTAGTTTACTGATTAAAATAAGTTAGGAGGACATAAAAATAAGTTTAGTTTACTGATTAAAATAAGTGTTAACAAGTTTGAATATTGAATGTTGATTGTGCTAAGAACGAGAGAAGGCATCGACCAATTGAAAATAAATTAAGAGGTTGAGACAGACTATGTGTCCCATCAATTAAAGTTTTAATAATGAATTGAAATTTACATAGTTGAAATTTAATTATAGAAAATTTTACTAAGTAATTGACCTATTCCAAGCACATGCAGCAAATGATGTAATCCAGAAACAAGAATGCTTCAATTAATTTAGTTTTTTTTTTTTTGGGTGGAATTTTACAATCCCAAATGAAACTCAAACTCGTAAAATTTCGCTCTTGCTACTTAAGTTTTGATCTCCATTTCTTTATATTTATCATATATATATATATATATATATATATGACTATTATAGAAGAGAATTTATCTAAGCATATTTGGCTGTGTTTAAATGTAAGTTAAACTTATTTTTAACTTACTTATTTTGTCAAAAATAGTAAGAAAAAATTGTTTACAGTACCACTGTCCAAAACACCAACGACAACATCCTTCCCGTAATTTGCTTTACGCAATAAATCTTCCGCATTTGGAGGGTTAGGATCTCCAAGTCCTTCGAGTAAGTTAATAAAATCCCACGATCTTGTCGTGTGAAGCCTCGATATGGTTGGGTGGCTATGAAACACTGATATCACCCCATCCATCTCTGATCAAAGAAAAAAGATCATTAGCTTACGCCAATTGAGCAAGAAAGATATAATTATAAATAGGCCTATAAACCCTTACCTCAACTGTATGTCCTTTGCCAAAGAGGAAAGAAATGAGAGCAAGACATGTGGTGTGAACTCATGCCGAAAGGAATTTTAAGTGGAAACAAAAATATTGGCTCGACACGGGAGATATTAAGCCCCTGTTTGGTCCTCATTTTTTAAAAACATTTTTCCTCAACTCATTTTCTATCACATATTTAATGAGAACCACAAATTTTATTAACTTTTATCAAAATATGTGTTTAAGTCACATTATTTTGGAAGAATGTATTTTAGAATAGTAAATTGATGAAAAATGTATGGTTGAAAAAGAAGAAAAAGTTATTGATGTGATGAAAAATATTATTTTATTGAAAAATGTGTGGTTGGAAATGAA